CTGGACAAGAATGGTGATGAACACGTGTGTCAACGAGAGTATAACAAAATACAAGGAGGAAAAAAGGTGAAAGGTAAACAATTTACAGCGTTTGTCCGGAAGCCCTCTTTTCCGGACGATTCGATGGGCGTGTGTCTACATATGTACAGAAAGGACAAAGTCGTTTCAAGATTCGTAGATCTGGAAATTGGTAAACCCGGTAGTTCACGGAACAGTCCGCCCGGAGGAATGGGGTTTCAGTTATCACCGTCCTCCTCAGTGACAATCAAACACAGAAGTAGCCGGCGTATATAGTGACACATATCACGGGAAATGTGATATAGTGGTATGTATTTGATCTGATGGAGATGGGCATATAGTCACCAGCAATAGTCGGTCATCTTACCTATATTGTCATAACTCACCTTGTTAATATATACAACCGACCCGTGAAGATCCGGGGTAGAATAGGTCTTCAGCAACCAATGCTTGCCGTAAATGGCGACTATGCTTGTCGTAAGAGGCGACTAACGGGATCGGGTGGTCAGGCTCGCTGACTTGATTGATGCATGTCATCGCGTCCCAATTACGTTGATTGATGCCGATGTTGTCAATCACTGCATTGTCTGGTCCAGACTCTATTATTTACAGACCGCCGTCATATAGCTGAAATATTGCTGAATGCGGCGTTAAACAACAAACAAACAAACAAATGTTTATACAACCAACTGTTAATCTGGAACCCCATTAACGATATTATAGGTTACTCCCACGTTGTAAAATATAAGGACAGGTTTTGGGTGAAAACATTTACAGATTGTGACTGGACTTCAACCATATAATTTGTTCTAAAGTGACAAACTATAAATTGATCGGATTATGTAAGACGCATGTTGGAAAAAGTTAAAACGTAAATCGTCATAAATTGAAATAAAACTTCGTCATCCACGTCATCATATTTGAAAAATACCCCCATACAGTCATAATTGTGTTGGGAGATCCACTCCTTGTGCACTTTACCCTGAGTAAGTTAATACCCAGCGATTGTATTAAGTTTTAAGTATTACGAGATAATGGCCGCCACATGCCTTCTATAGCTCAGTGTGTGGGGATACGTAATGCGACATGAAACATCCAAATGCGTATGAACTTTCTAACAGCCGTCAGCCTATTGACAGTCGCTGTCATCGTGCCAAAAACATATTCATGGTCCCTTGAACTGAACCGAATATTCCAGTTCGATATTACCATATTGCAAAAGAAATATCAACTTGTATATCGATGATAATAGTTTAACCTGTTGGTATCGAGCTGTTCAGAATTCACTAAAAATCCATCTTGAACATTTAACAGAATCGGCTGATTTTGCGTCATGTCAGCGACAGTTCAGTTATAGGATATTACAGGCGCTTTAAACGTTATTCGGTTTCTCCATATATCTATTTATCGCATTCTTTTCACAGTGTATTTTATTATCACATTCCGTATGATATATTTGCTTCTGACATAAATGGTCATACATTATTTATAACTCCAATTGTATCCTGTGACAATATGAGTAATTATAGTATCTTAGTCAGATAATTTATTGACACAAATACTGTCAGGAAAATTGATGACTAAGATTTTTACCCAGGCTTTCACAACGTACTTCCAACCTAAGGCTACGTATGTTTTAGTATGTATGATACCAGTCTATACACATGGTTTCTTTCCTATGTGTTCTTAATCAACACATTAATACAAGCTGGAATATACGCATATATTGGCAAGGTAAGCAGAGTGTTCTCCCTTTGATCCTTACCGACAGCCTGAGTCGAAGTCAAAGTCGGCCACAGAGGTTCTTGTTTCAAATCAAGAAATAATTACTTAAATCCCACGTATATTGTGCCTCTACCTACATAACGATGTGTACATATAGGCAAATTAGATTAATCAGTCTTGGTTGAAATTAAATCAAAATTGAAATTAAAATATAAAACTGTATGTTTCCAATAGATGCCTGCCCCTCCCACAGAAAGTGCAATTTTGTTATTAGAACTTTGTCTTCACGTTCACATACACACAATATTACCTTATATAACCCGTGCCACTATCACCAAGCTTAAACTGTCAGAGGAAATGTATGTTAATCCACCTTTTATTGTGGAAAGTTCATCTGTGCTTAATCAGTAAATGCAATTGTGAACTCGAGAACCACAAACATACACTTTGACGACCATATATATATAACTCCTATTAACTCTCTCTTGCCCGGATTTTACGTGTCTCTATAAATAGATATCGGAAATACCTCTGTACCTGGAAACGAGACAATTTTCTACGTAGGCACACATTTGGGGTTTCCAACGTAGGCTGACATACAGTTGAAAACGGACAAGTTGGGTGGTATACAGGCACGGCACGGCACGCGCATTTATCAACGTTAACGGGAACAGCATCAACGACGTGGTTTGTACCCATTTGACACAGTAAATAGCCTCCCTTCTCAGGTGCTTCCACAAGAACGTTGATATTCTGCTGCAGTTTCATGGCTAGATAACATGCAAAACCTGTTGCTGCAAATTGTTTGCATCACGTCCCTATATAAGTAAAATACTTTTGAAAAACGCGACGTTAAACCGCATTTCATCTCACCTCATCTATAATGTAGGGCGGTGGGGTAGCCAAGTGGTTAAAGCATTCGCTCGTCACGCCGAAGATCCGGGTTCGATTAAAACATAGGTATAATGTGTGAAGCCCATTTCCGGTGTCCCACGCCGTGATATTGCTAAAAGTGGCGTAAAACCATACTCACTCACTGTAATGTTAATTATTGGCGTTGATGTTAACCATTCTTGTTAACCGGTAACAGTACCCGGTTACAGTATTCTTCCTCATCACTGCACTCAGGTCGGAGTGATTGTGCAATCGGATTAACCTCCAGTGATCCGCCATTACATGAACTGATCTTAACTGCAGGCGGATTTGCCCTTAGGGAGCCATATATTTCGGAAACAACATTGTAAAGTATGCTGAACCGGCATTGCAGTCACAGGGATGGATACTGCTTCATGAAAACGTCTGTAATTCGTTTTGAACTTAATAGCAATGTTGGGTCGATATTGCGGTTGACGACAGATTCATTTTTCTTCTATCTGCGACCAGTACCATTTCATAAATAAACTCCATGTGTACCAAACATTTCACTGTAAACGAAAAGGTAAAAATATACTTTGAATACATCGACAATGCCTGTATTTCGCATTCACATACTAGTATCTGTTATCCTCAATATGATTTCATAACAGTAGAAATATTGGGGTATATGATTTCATAACAGTAGAAATATTGGGGTATATGATTTCATAACAGGAGAAATATTGGGGTATATGATTTCATAACAGGAGAAATATTGGGGTATATGATTTTATAACGGTAGAAATATTGGGGTATATGATTTTATAACGGTAGAAAAATTGGGATTTATGATTTCATAACAGTAGAAATATTGGGGTATATGATTTCATAACAGTAGAAATATTGGGGTATATGATTTCATAACAGGAGAAATATTGGGGTATATGATTTCATAACAGGAGAAATATTGGGGTATATGATTTTATAACGGTAGAAAAATTGGGATTTATGATTTCATAACAGTAGAAATATTGGGGTATATGATTTCATAACAGTAGAAATATTGGGGTATATGATTTCATAACAGGAGAAATATTGGGGTATATGATTTCATAACAGGAGAAATATTGGGGTATATGATTTTATAACAGTAGAAATATTGGGGTATATGATTTCATAACAGGAGAAAAATTGGGATTTATGATTTCATAACAGTAGAAATATTGGGGTATATGATTTCATAACAGTAGAAATATTGGGGTATATGATTTCATAACAGGAGAAATATTGGGGTATATGATTTCATAACAGGAGAAATATTGGGGTATATGATTTTATAACAGGAGAAATATTGGGGTATGATTTCATAACAGGAGAAATATTTGGGTATATGATTTTATAACAGTAGAAATATTGGGGTATATGATTTCATAACAGGAGAAAAATTGGGATTTATGATTTCATAACAGTAGAAATATTGGGGTATATGATTTCATAACAGTAGAAATATTGGGATATATGATTTAATAACAGTAGAATGTACCCCATAATGAAGAAGAATCGTCAATTTGAACCGACCTTAATATGTGCCTGGATTCAAGGGGCAACTGAACAACGCGAATTGTAACTACCGGACCATCCCTGCACTAGGAGCATAAGCATTCCCTGAGACATTCTGATCCAATGCATGAAACACGACGGAAACATTTGAAGACATTTTTTTCAGAATTTTTGTGAACAGATTTTTAAAATTTATTTGAATCCAGTTGTATGCACAATTACCGATCTATGCCAATAAGTTAACGTCATGTTCCACATGAACATGATGTACCGATCTATATTTCACTTTTGTATACTCTCGTACCAAAATATCTTTGTTGGTGGAACCTCAAGGTTTTACATTTGAAATGAAATAATATAAAATAATCATTTCCGGTACACAAAAAGTGTATGATAAATAGGATATTCCATGTGTCTCGTGAAATGTCATGTTTCTTTCTCGTGACGGGGGAAGGAAATATTTTGACGAATTCTTCTTTTCCCCGTCCCGAGATGAGAGAAACATGATATTTCACGATTTCACTTTTGACGATTCAACACATTTGATGTCATAGAATGGTTAACCTTCACTGAGAAAACGTGAAAAACTATTTTCATTTGAGTATTTATCCTTTGTTTACATTGGTTGTACGGCTCCACGTGTTGTCATCGAAGCCTTTGGGAGAGCTAGCGATACGGTCACTTTGATGTATAAAGAAGTTGTGGTAGCATATAATTATATAATTATGCAAAACAATATGTATAGCACACCGAAAGCAAGGCCGTAGTTAACTTTTTTTGACAGGGGTGGCAAATATTTGTACAAGTATCACTTGTCCCCAACTTGAATTTTCATGATTCAAATAAAACTGTTTTCTATTAAAAAAATTCCAGGGGGGCAACTGCCATCCCTGACCCCTACGGCATTGGAAAGGCTTGCATCAGGCCAGTCTGTTCTGATTTCACTGTATAAGCGAAAGGAAATCTGATATGCAAATTAGCCTGTGACAGTGGCGAAATTCTTTGAAGTCATCACCGTGCAGGAGTGTGAGAACTGTCATTGCCACACTTTGCAAAGCTGAGTTCTTATCAACTGCTTGTCGAATAAATACATCGTTACATGTGACGTATAATTCCCTGTAGTGTGTATCCAAGTTCTGGTCGCTACGTCTCACCTCTCTATAGTCGTGGTAGTAAACGATAGTCTCGTCTGACCTCGAATGCGCTGGAAAGAAATCACGTGACCGACAACTGGGGTTTCCCCATTTCACAATTATGCTTCAAATCTTCTATATGCAAAACATCACGTGTGTAAAATATGACAAGTGCTATTCTAAATTATCAATAATAAGAAGAGCAGTGATTTCCAGTTTCGTAACCGAATGAAAGACGATAGACGGCACGCAATAAATAGAACGGAAATAGATGAACTACACGTGATATGTATAAAAAGAGAAAGCGAATTTGAATAACAATCATTGATAGAACGGCAACTGGTGATTAACATGGCCAAAGACGAATATATAGTCACCGAACAACACAAAACTACTCAAGTAAGTATCTTTACTGTCTAAAGTACAAGTATCTTCATCGTAGACTAATTCAGTTCTCGATATGTCTGAGATGTATCATAAGTACTGTTTTGTTACGTGTTCAGTGACACGTGTCTATTAACACTCGTCCATTGTTTACTTGTTTACTTGTCTGGGTTGGAATGTATCACAAGTATTGATTTTGTTTGTTTTGGCCTTGGCATGTATCTGTTTTCTGACAGTGAGACGTGTTTATTAACATTCGTCCCTTATGTATACTAGTTTGGGCTGGAACCATCTGGCTGAAGCTAGATGTAATACGGTATTTCCAATATGACGTATGAATTACCACTATATAGCGTCAATACTTAAGTTCACTAGCAAAACGTGGGACAGTGCTGTACAACACACGTGTGAGTATAACATAGTGTTGTTTGATAGGCATTACTTAGAAGTTGACGGATGACAAGATAGACACAATATTTTTATGGATAACAACTTCTTTAATACTGTGAAAAGCGACGTTTCGGTATAGATCCTTATACCGTTGTCAAGCAAGAAGTTGTTATCCATAAAAATATTGTGTCTATCTTGTAACATAGTGTTATGATGAAATTATGTTCCGTGTTAATGTACACCTAGACTAACATCTAGTTTCTGAAATGAACATATCGTACAGAAAAAAACCCAGTTGTTCAGTTATCTTAAAAAAAATATAATAAAAGGGAGCCCAGTGACTCTCTTCATTATACTGCAGTAATCTAGACTTGCCAAACATTATAGACTTGCATGGGCAGTATTTGATATATATTTGTATCAGGGTCTGTAAGACAGACTAATGTACACCTACTGATGTCGCTATGTGGCTGAAATGATGCTGATGCAACGTTATAATCTAACACACTCACCAACTAATGGGATGGCTTTTGTTCGTGTTTATACATTGTGTATACAGATGTACTTCTATTAAACTTTCTTTTACCATATACATACATGTATCCCGGGCTTGTTATATCTGGGATATCTGGTGTTCTGTGGTTGAAGCAAACACGCCTATCTGTGGGTCCACAGCACTGTATTCTATGATATTGTGCAGCTTCATAATAATGATAATCATGGTGGGACTGTGGTCTCCCGTTAGCATCTCCCTGGCGTATCGACCAACCGGTCCAGTAGCCGCTGTCTCAGGGTCTACTCTCGACCGGGCTGAGATGTTATCAAGAAAATAAATTGTCGCCAGAAAATGTTTAAAAAAAACAGTTATGCTTCAGACATGTGAACAAAAACCTGAAAGTATCTGCCACAAACAATATACCGTTGCAAGATGTTTAAAAACATAAAATATTAAGCTCATAGTTTTAATTTACAAAAACGTCTGGTTTTGCAACTGAAAAAAAATATCTGCAAATGTCAGGTCCCTGTATATTTAATTAGGATACCTTTATTTCTGGTACCAAATGTTAGTCTAGCAGCTGACCTGCGCATGATTGCGCTACTGGTCATGATGATATTGGCCCAGCTGCTGTCATCTACTTTGTAATGACTACTCTAGGAATATTTAGATAGATTATATTTAACTCACTTGACTCAAGGAATATATGCCATTTACATAAACTTACTGTTCTGTTTCGGATTAACGATAGATTGATGTAGCCTACACATGACTCAATGATAGGCCCATGGGCACATTGTGTTGCATACTTATACATGTTATTGTTGCACGTGTTTAACTTGGATTTTGTGTTTTCTGATTTTGTCGCTTTTCTGTTTAAAGGATGAACGTGATAGTTATATCTACTCATTTGTATTCGATTGTTTTTTTCAGGCTCGTCTGAAAACTATGAACAAGGACTACAAGTTAGAGAGGCCTCCCGGGCGACGCGGAAACATGGATCTTGATGTGGACTTTGGTAGCCTCAGCCTCAACGAGAGTGGCATGGACACGTGTGAATCTGGGGTAGAGGTGGGCAGCGTGGGTCAAGTGGTCAACATATGTGTACGACTTGACAGTGTCAATACAAACACCTGCCCCAGGTTTGTTTCTACAGATGAAGGATATGAAAGCAAGTCAATATCTTTCACAGACAGAATGTCCATTCAGGAGACTGAGAACAACAGACTTGTGACATCCATGAGATCGGTTGATGTCTTTCAGGTGTATCATCAAGATAAAGATGGCGATACGGCTCTACATACTGGAATCATTCAAGGACATATATCTCTGGTGTTGTTGTTTATATCGGCGGCGCCGAACTGTGAGTGGTTGAACATTACAAATTTGCTCAAACAGACGCCCCTCCATCTCGCTGTTATTACTCGTCAGGTGAATATAGTCCGGCGACTGATGACGGCCGGAGCAAGGGTTGACGTTACAGATATCCATGGCAACACACCACTTCACATAGCATGTCGAGAGGGATACCAGGAGATCGTGGAATGTCTTCTGAGACCTGTTTATTATGAGGAGACACTTCTGAACCAGTATGAGATTCCATACCAAAGGATACCCCAGGACTTGGAGAATAGGAACTTTGATGGACACACATGTCAACACCTGGCCGCCATGTCGACACATCTCAAAGTTCTTGAACTACTTCTGTCTAAGAAAGCTAGCATCAATGTGCGTGACGGCACCAGCGGAAGGACAGTTCTCCATTACGCTGCTGAAACCGGAAACAGAATTCTTCTTCACTTCCTGTTGTCACAGCGCCATCTGGACATTTGCTGCAGGACATATGGGGGTCTGACGCCTCTTCGTCTTGCTGCAGGGAGGGGGTTCGGAGATGTCGTTTCCATCCTCCTCGCCAACGGTGCAGACGTCACAGACATAGATGGTTCAGATCAGTCAGACGAAGACGTATTTGATGACTTTTGTATCAATGGACACGCAGTTGCTTTGTAACAATCAGGACAGAATGAATGGATGTGTAACGCTGACGTATCAGAAGACAAACAAGAGATATTTTAATGTTACAATGATTATTAATAACATGTATATGTCTATCTGAACTAATTGTGATCCAGAACATGCAGGATACTGTGGTGTGTTTGTTTTCTTTTGATATAGAATGATATTGATATTGTGTGCATACGTGCGTGCGGATATTTGTTTGTTGTTCAACTCCGCACTAAGCTATCAAGAGCGTCACCGAGCCTGACCACCTGATCCAATTTTAACACGGAACTAGTAACGCCCTCGTTTCAAACGACAGTTGAATATATTACTAGTATTTACTAGCGGACAATAGTTTATACCAAACAACGAGTCATTGTCTACTGATATCAGTCAAGCCCTGTATATGTAGATGGCCAGTATTTACATCACTTATATGCTCCTGCTAGCGTTATATTTTAGACTGATATGTTTTGTTTTATTATTGTTGTTGTCCAAACGAGAGTTAACACTACTTGTATTATTCTGAAATAATTTATCGTAAACTGATCACTTGTCAGTATGCATGTACAAATTGTATTTCATGTAATGGAAGTCAGAGTCTATCTTGGCCTGATCACCGATTATGGCTCTGTTCAACAGTAGCCTACATATGCACACGCTTGTTCCTACAACTGTGTCAGACTCACAAATGTTTCTTTTCGCAGAGAAAGTTTTGTTGGAATTTAATAAACGTTAAAAGTTTTGTGAAGAGTAGTATTTTTTGTTATTTGTTTGTGTACCAGGAAACCTTGACCTGAACTGATGCAGGTTAATGTCAACCATTGGAACTCGTATCTGACAATAAACTACTCTGAATTATTTTCGATATAGACCTCTCATGGTTGTATGCGTGTAACTGTCTGCCTTTCTGTTTGTGCCCATAATGCCTGCCTCTATCTGTGATATAACAAAATATAAATCAAACAGTTTATGCCATCACAATAATAATCAAAGCGACAAAATCCTTTCCAAATTCATACCAGATCTCTGCGAATTGTGCGATTCCGAATATATCTTTGGCTTGTGTTTATGAATCACAGTCAAATAGTGACGATACCATGTGTTCGGGAAAAGGTGAGCGTATCCTGTCCCTCCGGTGGCACCCGACACAAACACATGCAAAAGCAAGTCAATTTGCACGGGAACATGTGGTACAAGTAAAAACAGGACATAGGTTTGTCACTGATGCGTCAAATCTGGAAATGTCCAGGCCAATTTTAATTCTTTAATTTTTAATGTCATACAGACAGATAGACAATAGTTTATTTTCGACTCACTTTTGTACAAACATTTAAAAGGCATGATTATTACAAACAATATTTGTAAATTTATGTACAGAACCATTCATGAAGAATTATGAGAGACGGTAATATGAATATAAATAAACAGTATATATTAAAACAGTATAAGACATTAACCATATCATACATTTTTCGCCGATTAAGAATTAAAAAGCAAATTTTGGCAGTTAAGAAAGAGATATCATTATTACCCCTTATAAAACAAAGCATAACAACATCTGACACATCTAAAACTATCACATTTTAAGACACATTCATTAAAAAGCATATCTCTAAAATCATCATATAATGGGCAGTGAACTAAAACGTGACTTTCGTCTTCAACATAATTATTGCAATGGAAGCATGTTCTTTCATTGATTGGTACATGAGTGTATCTACCAGTTTCTATTTTTAAATGGGCAATACCACATCTAAATTCCGCTAAGGCGGATCAAAAACATCTTGGAATATGAGATGAAACATAATTTTCTGTACAATAAAATTGTTTAAAGCAGCGTTATGTTCTTAACTTGTTAAAACCACTACATGTATTTCCATTTTCCCGTAAAAGCATATCATTCCACTTTCTCAAATAATCATACACACATCTTTTACAAAGGAACATAAAAACGACTTGTTAACAGGACAATTTGTATTTAAAACTTGAGATAAACCAAATTCACAATTTCTGCAATTATTTGCAGCACAATCATCAGCCCAAACAAATACATACTTATTAAGTCTGGGAGGGATTTTTTTAAAACGACACCAATGTCTAGCAATACAAATCGGCTGTCTTACAATAGGTGGTGACCAGCCTACATCCCCATTAACGGCTACATTTGGGGCATATTTACCAATACCAAGAAAATATCTAATGGCCCTATGATGTAGAGCATTGACCGTAGACACCTCGTAATTGCCCCATATACAAGCACCATAGTTCAATACAGGCCGTACCATAGTATCATACAACTTTGTATATGTATTGTAATGCATACCACCAATACTTTTAAATTTAGATATAAGCAAGCCCAACGCCCTACTTGCTGACGTAGCTGCTGCACGTGCCATGGGGGTATAATCTAGATGCACTGTTAGCAGTAAACCTTGATAATTATAACAACTCACAAATTCTAAACTATTGTTGCCAACATTAAAAACAGACTGCGTCTGTTTATCAGACGTATTTCTAAAATGTACAACTTGAGACTTTTCAGGATTTATTTCTAGCTTGTTTTCACAGCACCAATTGTGAAGTACATCTAAAAGTAGATTAAGATTATCTTCATTTTCAGCCAGTATTGCAATGTCGTCTGCATAAAAATTATCCTAATGATGCAATATTCATATCATCAACCTTTACACCAAGATTCAAATTGTTCAGTGTAGATAACAAATCATTAAAAAAGATATTAAACAAAACTGGGGATAATAAACAACCTTGTTTCAATCCTTTATTGACATTAAACTACGATATTAAGAAACCATTCACTCTGACACAACACTTCACATCTTTATACAAAGATTGTAGAGATTCAAACATTTTACCACCCATACCACACTCTGGGATTCTATTCCATAGGATATTACGATTTATGCAGTCATATGCTTTCTTGAAGTCTACGGAGGCAACATAAGAGGACAACTTTTTGGATTTTCTAGTTTCTTTAATTGATGTCAGGGACGATACATGGTCTACTGTTGATCTATTCCTCCTGAAACCATTTTAAGCGTCGTTGAAAATATTGTTAGATTCTGTCCAAACTTGTAGCCTCCGATTAATAACACTGGAGTACAGTTTGTATATTGTAGTTGTCAAGGTGAGTGATTCCTCTATAAGCCAAAGGATTTCTCGGGTCCAATGATGAGCATTTTGGTATTAGATTAATGATACCATGTGATCATATTTTTTGAATTTTTCCGGTATTAAAACCCAAGTTAAAACACGATGTAGAGTGAGTGAGTGAGTGAGTGAGTGAGTGAGTTGGGTTTAACGCCGCTTTTAACAGTATTCCAGTCATATCACGGCGTGTCAGCTTAATGTGGGAGGAAAGCCCGAAGTGATGCAGTCTCAGACGTTTACCACTTCGGTGAAACCCACGAGCACGGGTATGGTGCTGACAAACCTAGAAACATAATCGGGGCGAACCGGGATTCGAACCCACAATCATAGGTTTCTGGCGTGCCCAAGGGACGCAACTCTGCACAGCGAATCGCGGCGCCTTAGACGACTGGGCCACCCGTGCCCCCCACGATGTAGAACTTTGATTACAGTCTCTGATTTTAGAACTTCAATTGGAATTTCACCAACACCCACAGCTTTACCTGTATTTGCTTTAACAACGGCAGTCCACATTTCATACAGGATAATAGCGTCGCTGAATAAGACATGATTATTATTGTTAAGTATATTCGTACAGATGGGTTCATTTTCACACTCACCATTTAAAAGTACATTAAAGTCGGATTTCCATCTTTCCAAAACAATATATCTATCTTTGATGACATGTCCATCGTCAGTGACCACTTCCATTGGAATCTGTTTACGTCTATCAGCACCCACGCCGACACGCCCTATCTGCCGCCATAACTCATTGTCGTCGGCTGTACACAACTCATCTAGACTGCCTACAGTTCTCTTAACATGGTCTCTCTTGGCTTGTTGTACACACTTGTCAAACGTTTTACGCTCAGTCACATATATGTGTTTAAAATATGGTTTTTGAGATCTGCTTTTACATTTACAACATTTCCTTTCAGCTTCACACATATCTGCCCATAGCTCGGACAATCCGTCCGTCCACCATGGCTTACGAGTTCTGCGACGCTTATTTGATTTCCAATTTTCGGAGAATTATTTTATAGTTCAGCTTACTCTGCATTTCTTCTTTGACAATGTCGATCAGTTAAGTTGACGCTGCGTCCAAGTCCCCCTGCGCATGACTTGAGTTTTTCAGCTTGGTTATGACGTCGGTTAGTGCTTGGGAACTTATCTCGTCATACAAAAAGTCACGTGGTACATCAGACGTTTCAAACTTCACATGGCGAATCGGTTCCTCGAACGGCGCTGTCTGTAGTTCAATCATATCATTTGAGATTTCGACGAATCATGATCATTTCAATAAGGAATGATCTAGTTTTGTAATTAGATGACCGTCGACTCTTCCAATAATAGCCGCTTCATTAGCTGGTACATTCTCCCTCATTACTTCGAAGTCTTGAAATTGTCCAATATTTTCATAAGTCACGATGCTGTGGCATAAACTGCACGTGCATGTTAGCTGTATAAATGCGTTCGTCTGCAGGGTATAACAACACGTGATGAAAGCACACAAAAGAAATGCCACGACTGAGAGGGAGAGAGAGAGAGAGAGAGAGAGAGAGAGAGAGAGAGAGAGAGAGAGAGGGAGAGAGAGAGAGAGAGAGAGAGAGAGAGAGAGAGAGAGCCATCGGTATGGCCGAAATGGGGGCAACACAGGTCCAAATTGCCAGAAGGTTTGGTTGTACACCATTGACAGTAGCCAGGCTGGTTCAACGGTACAGGCAGACAGGGAGGACACAGGACAGGCCTAGAACCGGACGACCCCGAGTGACAACACCACTGGAAGACGGTCAGGTACGGCTATTCACCTGCGAAACAGATTCGTAACGGCGACGGCGACGGCAGCAACAGCGTTGGGACATCCCATTAGCCAACGTACAGTACTACGACGACTTCGTGCTGCTAGAATCCGAGCGTATCGTCCTTTCCGAGGAATGATACTGACTGCTCAACATCGACGCCTGAGACTGCGATGGGCGTGGCAGGTTCGACGCTGGCAAGTGAGAAATTGGCGTCGCGTGCTGTTTACTGATGGAAGTCGGTTTAACTTGTTTCGAAATGACGGCAGAGAACGAGTTTGTCGACGCAGAGGGGAACGTTTGGCTCCGGCGTGTTTTCGAGAGGTCCATCCATTCGGCGGGGGAGGTGTCATAGTGTGGGGCGGTATTTGTGGAGATCAGAAGACTGATTTGGTAATTATACAGGGAAATCTGAACGCTTTGCAGTACAGAGACCAAGTGTTGCAGCCAGTTGTGCTTCCGTTCTTACAAAACCAACAGCAGGGGACATTGTTTCAACACGACAATGCCAGGCCCGATACTGTAAGACTGACCCGGAACTTTCTAAACCAGCAGAACGTTGACGTTTTGCCCTGGCCTGCCCACTCACCCGATATGAATCCTATTGAACATCTGTGGGACCATCTTGAAAGACAGATTAGAGCACGCCATCAGCCTCCCGTCAACAGACAAGAATTGCAGCAGGCCCTGAGAGACGCGTGGCAACGGATTCCAGTCCACGTCATCAGAAGACTGACGTCATCGATGAGGCGGCGTATCACAGCATGCATTGAGGCAGCAGGACGTCATACACGCTATTGAA